CATTCAGCTCGAGGGTTGCTCCCCGGGGCTGTGCAAGTCCCCACGCCGGAGGAAGGGCAGCACATGGAAACCCACGTGCCAAGAAGCTCCTCGGCCGGGGCCTGTCAGGGCATTTGCAATGATTTGCTGGAGTGTTACACAAAGAGGAAAACATCCGAGACTCGCGGCGGGCTGCATGACTCACCATCGCCCGGGGAGGAAGGGCTCCGTCGCCGCTTATGCAAGTGCTGGCAGCTGCCGGGGCTGCGTTAGCCCTTGGTGGAAGCGCTGTGTCCCAGCAAAACCCACACATTTTAGGGCGCAGTCTGGGTGCTGGGGGAAACGCAGCTTGCACGTCCTCAGAGGAGGAGCAGCAGCTCTGCTTTCTGCTGGCCCAGCCTTGGGAACGGCAGGGCTGTGCCACAGTTGCGGAGCCGTGGGCACCCAAACTGCGTGTGGGGGAAGGTGCTCCCCTAGCCGGACCCAGGCGAGGAGGTGTCTGGATAGGGGATTTGCAGGGTGGGGACAGAGGAGGTGACCTGGGCTAGGAAAGGCTGGGTGTGGGAAAAGCTCCGGAAAAGCTTGGCAAGGGGAAGGACTGGGGATTTTTTATAATTATTTTTTTCCCCCTATAAAGTCCTGGTTTCTCACCATCTGGATTGCTGCCTGCAGGCGAGCAGGCACGAGGACGGCCACAGCGGGGTGACACCCAGCAAGTAGGCAGGGCAGAGCCGGGCAGCGCCGGGCAGAGCTCTGGGGAATAGGCAGAGCAGGAGGCTGGAGGGGGCATCCCGCCCGTGTTTGCAGTCAGCGGGGCAGGGTCCTGGATTTCAGGAGAGCATGGGCTTGATGGGACCCCCCAAAACAGGGTGGCAGCAGCTGGGGACACCCACAGCCCCACTCTGCCAGCTGCAGAGCTGGGGCCCAGAGGAGAGCTGTGTCAGTCCCCACGGCCCCATGCAAAGGGGAAAGGGCTGCCCAGGTGTTCTGAGACGCTGCCCCACACGCCACCCTGCACCACGACAAGCAGCTCCAAGATGTCTCATCCCCCTGGACAGAGGAGACCCCTTGCCAGGCAACAGAGTCCAGCTGGGTCCCCCTCCCTCCGCATGTGGCTCCTGCTCTGTCGGCAGCTGTGGAGCAGGGCCCAGGCAGGAAGGCAGAGCTATGGTCACCCAGCCCTGGAGGGTTCCCTGATCTCCTGGGGGTCCTGCAGAGCTCGGAACAAGGCTTCAGCTTGTGGGACACCGGGAAAAGCAGGACAAGGTGGGCCAGCAGCTCGCCGGGTCCCCACGCTGGGTACAAGGATGCAGGCAGGAATACCCCTGTGTCCCACCATAACCTTCATGCTCCTGTTCAGGTGGAGGGGACGGGCCCCCCTCTCACCAGCCACACGTGGCCCCCCAGATCGCCCACCCCGTCCCCCCGCATGGCTGGCGGCTGACGTCAGGCAGCAGATGCATCCTGTGCCCAGCAGGCTGGAGTGGGGGGGGCACCGGCGGGGGGCCGCGAAAAAACAGGGCGGGGGGGGGGGCGGG